CATCAAACATAAAGAAGATTTCCACTTTTCTAAAATAAATAAACGACATCACTGTCACCACCACAGATCCTGAAATAATCCAGTCTGTAAATGAGCCGATACAAGCGCACAGTTCACTCTGAGGAAGACTTCAGAGGAATAAATGACAATATTCATGTTATTCGTTGAAGCTGGTCGACATTTTCATCTGTGCACGTTTGCCGCTCTAAGCTCAGCACAGCTGAAGATATAAAAGGGAAGCAGGGATGGAAACGGCATCAGCTGAACAAACTCGGGCTGGTTAAACAGATCGTGGACGAGCGTGAACGTGGGGATTTACATCCACGCAGATTAAATTCTTACTTGATTTCGATGAGCATGTAGGTGATGCACAGGGACAGAGCTCCCGCCATGTTGATCAGGACAAAGGGGTTCATGCGAGGCAGCAGCACGCTGCTCAGGCCTGGAACGATGCCACACAAACTACACACAGACACACACAGGGAAACAAACAGAAACAGGATTAGTGCACATGATCACCTCCACATTCTCCCACTGAACAAACTCCAAAAGCTCCTCCAGCGTCAATAAAACATAAAAATGATTAAAATACGACGAAACATGAAACAGGTCACTTCCTAAGGAAGCTTCCTTTACGTATGTTTCCTACATCCTAGTTTTGATTTATAATTTTTTTTCTAACTGTATATTATTAAAAATAAGTGCAGTTATGCTCACGTGCATGTTCTTTATGATTATAATGAAATTGTAGTTTTAAAGTAAGCTGCCCTTAAACTTGGTGAAGATGCAAAGCAGAGCCGAGCAGCCTGTTTGGAGACTTGTTTGGTGATCGTTGTGAATGAAACTGTCATTAAAATCAGACCAACACTCGGAGGAGCAGCAACGTTATCAACTGTGCAAGGACGGATGTGTGACAGTCACCTCCCCGTCGCACGAGCTCATTGGTCGTGCAGCGAGCGAATAAAAAAAAACAAAACTGTAAACATCACGTACGATGCGTCCCGGAGGCGTCAGATGAACCAGGAGACCTATTGATCCATGAATCACTCAGCCTCAGCATTAATAACTCCTCCTCCACGTCTCGCCAGCTGCTCACGTGAAAACTTTCTGCCGAAGTTAAAATCTGTGGTTGGATTTGCTTCTGTTCACGTTTGCGCCCGTCGGCTTCGCTGCACAAAATCAGACTGTGCAAAAATAGGTGTGAACACACCTGAGGGGTTCTCGACTGATGACCTCACAGGGTTAACAGGACACCCTCACCTCATTGGCTCATCGCAGACACAGCAGCAGGTTCAACTTGTTAATAAAATGTCAAATTCTCGCACCTCTGAGTCTGTGTGCTCTCAAGTCTTTCTGGCGTCAAACAGGTAACAGGTGCGCAAAGGTATGAATTTAAACTGACTTCACAGTTTCATAGTATCTGGAATTCCTGAAACCCAGCAGCGTCTCTGGGAGGCAGAGCCCTGAATCCTCCGGTGTTTATATTTGTCTTCAGGTTTAGGCCTTTAACCCGATCACGCCATCATAATGGACTTTAGGGGGATTTGAACTGGACCTGATGGGATCATTCTTGTTTTGTTTCATGTTAGTTTAAGCTCCGACCGAGCTCCCGCACATCCTGCCTGAGCATCGGAGAAGAGCCGTCACACAAAAAACTCCCTCTCAGTTCATGCCAACAGCAGCAAATGGTTTAATGTGGGAGGAGCCGACGGGGACGCTGATCTAAACGATCCCGGGAGTTAAACGCTAAGGACCTGCTCCAAGAAGCAGCGATCCCGACTCCATGATCATCAGAAGGACGAGGAAATAGGCACTGAAGATGAAATATAGTTTATCCCACAGTACAAAAGAAAACCCTGATAAATGATAATAATACAGTGAAATATCAAAAAGAATTTAAAATGGTTTATTAAATACAGTCACATGTATCAGACAACAGCAGATATTAATATTTATACAGATACATGCTCATTATTTGCTGCTGGTTGGATAATAATAATAATAATAATAATAATAAAGAAGAAGTAACAAATATAATAAAGGTGTGCGATGAAAGTCGACCACCTGCAGGAACAGTTTGACCCCTCGACCTTTATTGTTCCTCTCAGCTGAGGTCAAAGGTCGCGCTAGCGTAAAAAAACAGCACCTGTGGAGCTGTGGAAAGTTTCGGTTTCTTGCTCAAAGGCACTTCAGCAGGAAACGATGCATCTGACAGGACCTAATGTGATGTGACAGCGTGACGTGATGCAACGCGGTGTGACATGCGGTGGCGGGATGGTGTCCCGGTGGAGCGCCACACGTCGCGGTTCAGAGACAGCGGCGTGGCGCCGGATGTTCGGCCTGAGAAGACTCGACTGAAAGAGGTCAGAGAGGACCGCCCATCGATGACGCCTCGTCCATAGACGAAGATCGAACGCAGCCTGTGGACGGGCTCGCCGTCATTTTATAAACAGCTAAAGAGAAACGTTGGCCTCAGGACACGCTGCCAAAAATCCTGCTGTTCCAGCTGTGGCAGAAGAAAAGGACATCCTCCGTCCTAATCCTGCCCCAAAGCCTAAAAGAGCACCTCTACGGAGGGCCCACAGTGCCAACAACCAAAATCCATAACATGAAACGCAGCAAAAAGACCTCGCGCCCCTGGTGAGACTGAATATGTCACATGGCCGCACTCTGCCGCCGCTGCCTGGGCGTGTATCATTAGATGATGATTAGAAAGAACGCAGAGACACGCATGTCAACACGTAATTAACGTCAAACATGTCATTCAGAGAGGCGTGTGCTCGCCACGGGCGGAGCTGGAGGAACAGACGAGGGGGGGGGACATCACATGTTTAGCAGCAACAACAGAAATGCACGCGCTCCTCCTTTAATGTCTTCAAGGTCAGCTGACGGCGTCATCAGATCCTGCGGCGGCTCCTCGGACGGTGAATAATCGAGGGCCGGGCAGGACGCGGCGATGTTAGCGGGATACTCGAGCACATGTTGTGATTCACCGGAGGACGCTCCGCGTTCATATCTGAGCCGCGGCGAGGAAACCTGAGCGATGATTCACGACACGGGAGCTGCTGGGTTCCCCTCGCCAGGCTTAGGAGGTGCTTTTATGTCCCCGCAGGACCTTTGCGGGGACATAAAAGGTGTCTTAGGTGTCTTCCTCATCATCATCGTCACTGCTCGTAGCTTTAAGATTGCAAAGATTCATCAGGATCATTTAATTAAAGAAAAAAATGGATGTTTGGAGAGTTTTTTCCTTTAATTTACGTAAAACTGAGGCACAGACGAAACAAAATGACCATCTGATCTTGTTACTGAAGGAAAGCTCCGGGCTCTTTAATCTGACATTCAGTGAAAAACTGAGTCTGCACACTGTGAGACTTCCTGTCTTTAGTGTTGGACTGGAAAGAGCAAAAGACAAAAAGGAGGCGAGACTCAGAGTGTCGAGGATGAGCCTGACAATCCCAGCGATCCCATAATCCCCGCTGATGCATTGATATAATTTGACATGTGACCTTGGTGTGTGCTCATCCAGAGCGGCTGCAGGATTTAAGCAAAGTCACAAACGAACTCTTGATACCCCGTGGCGCTCTGCCGGCTCCACAACGAACCCGATAACAAGAAGACAAACGCCCAAACTGCAACCCGTTAACCTGTGGGAAAACTCCAGTTTAGGTAAGGGGCGGAGCCTGGACACAGCGCTGCAGGAGGCAGGACCACGACTACTCGATCACTGTGAACTCTCCAGGCTGAACGCGGGCTCGACTGAAGCGCCGTCCGAAGCATGCAGCGATCTGCTTAGGGGACCAATCACATTTAAAGTTGCTGCTGGTTGAAGTCGTTCACGCCCATTGGAGACAAATGATTGTTTATTTGAAACAACGACAACGGAGTCGGTATAAATGCACGCGGTCCAGCGCTGAAGCTTTGAACTCGGCGTTTTCACTGATACCATCTGAGGAACACCTGACACCTCATTAACCACTGAGCACACCTGGGATAATCCTCTAAAGCCCGTCCACGTTTAAACCAATTAACTTGTTGCGTACACTTTGTAGCCGGTCACTAGTGGACATTCGTAGATAACCCTTTAATGCTTTTACCACCTCGTGCATCATTCAGCAGCATCCTTGACTCACGCTGAGTGTGATGCAGGTTTGAATCTCTGTCAGAGGTTCTGATGGAGCTGCAGGGAATTACGATCGACATGTACGGACATGTTTCATTTCTACTAGGGATGGACCGATATCACGCATCGGTCCGATACTGACCTAGATTACTGGATTGGATATCGGAGAGACATAAAAAATCTAATCTGATCCATTCAATATCACCAAAGCACCTCCCAAAACTAGCGACACGGCGTAATTCAGCTCATAACGTTAGCACGTCGGAGCAGTATGCGTCACGTGATAGCGTCACGTGATAGAGCGGCTGTGGCGTGCGAGACCTGTCGGCGGTCTGGTTGAGCATTTGAAGCCTGGCTACCAAAACGGCATTTCAAAGTAACAAAGTGGCATCGTGCCATCTCTAATTTCTACACTGCAGTTTGTTTATAAATAACGTCGTTCCCGTGGCTACGCTTTTAGCATCCCGGCCTAGTTCCAGAAAACATCTGCAGGAAAAAAACTCCAGATCAACACAATTTAAGACAAACTGGTTTCCAGTCTCAGCTTCCACCCACAAATATCAGGTGTGCAGATATTCAGCTCCCTGCAGCCTGACTCGAGTTCACAGTGAACTGTGACGGACCCGTGGAATTCAGGAAGCAGGGAGGAGTACAGACTCCTCCCTGCTTCCTGAATATGAAACAATAATTTACATCCAGCCTGTGAGCACATAAAGGCATCAGGAAAGGTAAAATTCATGCAAGGTGAAGCGTTATTGGAGCCAGTGTGACTGCCCCCTGCTGGCCGTCAGAAACACTTCTCTGTTTGCGACACGTCTCAGATCCGGGAGCTACGGCCCGACGGCTCCCGAGGGAAACGTCTGCATTTCGAGCCGCTAAAAGCTTCTCCGTGTTCAGCAGCGAGCGTCTGACTGAGCCGTGTCTGTTTGCTGCTGAGCAGGTACTCCGCTGTGGCTTTTTAGAGCTTCTCCTCTGAACACAGACGCCTGCTGCGAGTGAAAACAACGCTACGGGCAACCGCTCTCGCGCTGTCACAATATTTTCACATCGTCATTAGAAAAAAACGCCAGTTTAAAAAAAGAGAGAGAAGAAGACGCTCAGTGATACAGCAAGTGTTTTTTACTTCAATGCAAAAGGAGTCCTGCATACAATAACCTGAAATATGACACAACACAGCAGCTCAATGTAAACATCACATGATCTGCAAGGGAAACAATTAAATATGTGTAAAGACTTCAGCTCATACAGACGTTCAACGATGAACATCTGCAGTCACACATCTGTCTGCTGCCCAGGTGTTTGGGGGCTAATCTAAGCTCATTGTGACATCACTAGTCTAGTCCAATCATCTTTGTGCTGGCCTTCTCCAGGCCAATCAATTTAGATGGAAAAAAGAAAATAAAGAGAAAATTAAATTACCAACTGAGTTAAGTTGGTAGAGATTTCTAAGTGTCGAATGATTTTGACTGTGGTCAGACGTCCTGCCTGCACGGGCAGAAAAAGGCGTGGGACTCCGTGACCTCCGTGGCACAATCATGTCTCCTGTGACCAACAAGTCGCCTCCATCAGAGGTCAACCATCCATCATGTTATCAAGGTGATGCAGAGACTAGTCTCCGCCCACCTGAGAGCACAGGTAGAACCTCCCTTGACCCTGAGAGGTTTGCACGCAGACTGAATCTGGGGGTGGTTGATGCAGTCCTCTGCATGCACGGTTAGAAACGCCTCCTCTGGTTCCTCACGTGCATTGACACGATTCAGCAGCTGCTACTGAGAGAGAAGCTGCAGGAAACACCTCAGGAGGCGATAACGTCTCCATTCCTGCTCACCTTCGACACTTTGAGGTCAGAAACACTCTGGATGTGTTAGTGATGTTCAGGAGGAGGAGGACAGATCTGCTCCTGCATGTGATAGCAGCAGAGATGGTGAGAGGACGGCTACACAGCTGCCGTCTGGGACAGGATGTCAGGGAGGTCCAAGAGTGCGCGTACCTGGGCGTCCACATTGATAACAGGCCGAGCTGCAAGACCAGTGCAGAGGCTGGATACGAGAAGGATCCGAGCAGGCTCTGCTTCCAGGGAAAGCACCACAGTGGATTTCTGCAGTAAGATGGGGGAGCAGCATCGAGCTGCAGCCTCCAGCAGATGGGATAAACTGATCAGGAAGTAGGGCTCTGGGATTGGAGGTCACCAAGAAACAGTGATCCATCATGGATAATCCCGACCACCTCCTGCTCCTCCTCTAACACACAGGAGCTGCCCTGAGCGCAGACGCAGGAAGACACATCTGCCAGATGTTGTTGTGACTCTTCATCATGTCTGCCGTAACAAACGCACAAATCCAGACATAATAAAGAATTTCTCATCTCTGTATGTAAACGTAGACAAATGTGCTATAAATAAAGTTACTATTTAAAAAAAACTGAAGACGGTGCAGCGATGCTTGGAAGTAACCGGACGAGCAGGATCAGGGCTTGTTAATCCAAATCTGCACGTTTTTTACTTCCTCTGTCTCTCTCCTCCCCGGTGGCAACTTACACACACACACACGCACACGCGCACACGCACACACACGCACACACACGCGCACGCACACACACACGCACACACACACACACACACACACACACGCACACACACGCACGCACACGCATACACACACACGCACGCACACACACATGCACAGAGCTCAGGCTTCTGGCTGGTGAGGCTGACCGAGCAGCAGGCTTTATATAACCCAGTTGGCCCTCAGACCATGCTGGGGTTAAGTGGGGACAGGCTGTGATAACACACACACAGCATCTCTGTGTGTGTCTCTCCCACACGCAGTCAAAGAGTGGAAACTAGGCTGGGACGTCCTGTTCACTTCTGCCCTCTCAGCCAATCACAGCGCAGTTCTGTTGCACAACTCTCCAGGCTGTCACCCTGAGTAACCCGCGCCGACTGAGCCGCTGACTCTCAGCGTGTGTGTGTGTGTGTGTGTGTGTGCAGACATCGTATATTTCACCCACTTCGGATGCCGGAGCGATGCAGCAGCATGGAATATTTATCACAGGAGCAGCAGAGGCTTCAGAGCCGGTCGACAGGTTGCACACGGGAAGTTGCCTTTGGTGTTTCATCAGACGCGACGACACAATTATCAAACACCGATTAATGCTTCATGCTTTGATTGCATAACTTGACATAAGGAAGCTGAATTCTGGGAAGCATTTCAAATTTCTGATTCCATGTTTCTATTTTTGGATTCGACTGCAGCAGCTTTGCACGATTCACTGTTAAAAATAATCAACGTTTACCTCACCTGCTGGATAATAAGCCCCGCCCACATATAAAGCACATCGTGCGTCACCCGACTGCCACCTAGTGGACAGTCTTGGCTACTCGCTTGCTTATTTACCGCCTCTCACACGTCCGTAAAGAGCAACCTTTGTTCTCATTGGCAGTCACTGGGTTTGGACTGATTTCATCAGCCAGCAACGACTCGCCAACCACTCGGGGAACACAAACTTTTTCCTGGAGACGTGTGGCTGTCAGAGGGTCATCGGCCAGTCTGTGTGTCTGCGTCACTGACGCCTTATTTCGCTTTCATTTGCTTAATGTCACTTCCTGAGGTCATCAGCCATTGTCCAACTCTCAATTCTCCCTCAGCTCTAAAAATCAAACACTGCGGCGCCGCTGAGACTCAAAACGTCCAAATTCCTCCAGTTCAAACGGACGGATCAGTGTGGCTGTTTCCCCGGGTCGGCCACGACCCAGGCTGAGAGTGACGGGTGCAGGGGTTTGATGATGCTGCAGAAGAGTCGTGCCTGTTGTTGCTGACGTCTCGTTCTCTTAAACCAACCATCGATCGGCCTCAGAAAGACTCGCGGTTATGATAATATTCACTGAACTAACGCAGCATCAGTGGCGTAGCTTCGGAGGCTTTTCCTTCCTGACCAAGGAAAACGTCTGCAGTTCTTCTGGGCGTTGATCCTCCGGATCAACAGAATTTAAGACAAACTCTGCTCTGGTGCAAAGTCTCAGCTTCCAACCACAAATATCAGGTGACCAGAAACTGTCAGCGGGGGGATATTCAGCCCCCTGCTGCCTCGCCTCTGCAGACAGAAACTGATCTAACAGCTGTTTCTGAGAAGACAAATCAATGAGGCTAACCTTTGACCCCAGAGGCCATACACCTGGGCACACACAGGGTGTAACATACAGGATGGATGTGTGTGTGTGAGTGTAAGCAGAGCGAGGAAGCGTCCTTACCTTCGACTTAAATCTGCCACATGCTCCTGAAGCCAACTGCTGCTAGCCGCTGAGGAGAGAGAAAGATCGGTTTAATACAGCAACAAAAACCACACGCAGCCTGTCTGAGGGTGGAGCGGTGGTGGAGCGGTGCACGGACACGATGAGCCCGGCTCGTTGATGGCTGCACTTGTTAAACTGTTCAGATCAAACACGAGGAAACTGGGGTCAGTGTCCCATTTAAAACCAAAGGAAGGTTATTTTTAACCTCCTAACTCTTTGATGGCATTTTTAATCTTTGCTATTTGGGCTGACTGCGACCTGATGAATGTAAAAACAAAGAGTTGCCTGATTTTTGTTTCTGACAAAAATGTGATGTCCACATATGAGGAGCCAGGTCCTCGGAGGTTAGACTGAGTTGACTTTCTTCTTTTTTTAAACTTTTCTGTTTTGGAAAATGTGGTTTCTGCCCTTCGAGCCCTTCATGATGTCACTCCTGTATTTAACGCCTCTGCCTGAATACAAACGTGATTGGTCGGATCATCAACACTGATCGCAGACCCTCTCACCTGCGCCACATTAATCTTACAGTTCTCATTGGATAAGAGCATGGGCGGTGCTGGAAGGTAACTTATTACATTTACTCGAATACTTCTGTGCTATGGTGCCATGGTTTTCTGGAAATACATCAAATACTCAACTTTGTAATTTATACTTTTACAAGGGTATTATTTTATGTAATATTTTAAGTATAAGATTCTGTATTATTAAAGTTCATGTTTAGATCAGAGTGAAGATTAAAGGAACAACGTTTTTTATACTTATGTGGTCACCGCACACGTATGACCCCAGCTGTAGGAATATTTTCTGCTCATAAAATTGTTTCCTGTTTCTGCTCCTGCATCTTTTCACTACAGGCTTTGATTTTGTCGCTGAACACAGCCGAGCTACGAGATTTACCGCTGCAGGTACTCAGTGCTCAAAGTGATGATTAACAGAGCTCAGCTGACAGAGATGAGTCGGGCTTATGAACAAAATGATAGAAAACCATATCGGATCTCTTTCTGAGTCAGCTGTAGAGGAAGCAGGTGTGACAGACTCCGCCCAGCCTGCGTCCTGGCCCGGGTCCTTCAGCGTTACAGTTTCAGACACGATGACGCTTGTTGTGGAGGAACGGAGAAGCTCGAGATGGAGAGTGGAGGACACGTTTCTATCTCAGTGCTGCATGAAGGTCCCAGCTGTTTCACTCCACAGCTGCCTCCGTCAGCTCCGTCCTATAGATCTGACACTCGCAGACTCCCGCTCACCCAAACCTGCAAAACTGTACATCGCAGTTTTCTTCTACTTCTTTTTTGGTTGTTGGGTGGGCGGGGGTGGGGGGAATCTGATTACAGTGTTTAAAGTGAGGAGGGCGTAGCCGCCTCCATGATGAGGGATAAAAACACCTCCCACTCGTCTTTAAAAAAAGATAAGCGCTCTCGCTCGGCTGCGCCGTCCCACCTTTAATGTTTGAAGACGCCGCGAGGCCCGAAGGCTCAGCGTCGGGTCAAAGGCCCTTCACATCCCATCCTGCTCAACCCCCGAGTGTGTGTGTGTGTGTGAGGGAGAGTGTGTGTGCTCTGTTTGTTTTGCTAGCAGGGTGAGTCAGTCTAAACAAACATTTTAATGGAGTGACTTATTTATGATCCGTGTGCACGAGGACGCCGTGTGTGTGTGTGTGTGTGTGTGTTGGCATGTCTTTCTGCTCGCATGGCCCCCTGGCACACTACATTACCACAGTCTGGAACATGGTTGCGTAATGCACTTTTAGTCTCGCTCCATCAGAGATGCTGTGTGTGTGTGCGTGCGTGTGTGTGTGTGTGTGTGTGTGTGTGTGTGTGTGTGTGTGTAATGAGTGAGAGATTGTGTGCTTCAGCAAAGTTAAGTGCCCGTGTGTGTTTGTGTGCGAGCGTGTGCAGCTTCATCCCCCTCCTGTTCCAAAATGTCAGATGTTAAGTGATGTTGAGACTGCTCCGAACGCAAGAACAGACAGCTGACGAACGCGCACACACACACACACACACACACACACACACACACACACACACACACACACACACACACACACACACACACACACACTCTGACCTCATTCATCGGTAGACTGTTCATGCAGTGAGTCAGCCGGAGAGGAGAGGAGACGAGGGGAACACATGAGAGGAAAGGAGAGGAGGAGAGGATCTGTCGGTCTCCTTCCATCTTTTTATTTCTCCACATGATGACGGTTTGGATTTTTAAGGCGAAATGATGGGAAAAGGAGGCTGGAGTGAAGGAATGAAGGGAGCAAAGAAGGCTCTAAGCTGTGTGGCTTGTTGTTCATGGACCTTTCAGGCTCCTCCTCCCTGCACAGGTGTACATCTGGTTGGCCAGGTATAGTCTGAGGTTTATTTTTACCTTTTCATCCATCAGATTTTTCAAGTTCAGTTATCGCTACGAATCTCAGGTGGACTTCAACTCCAACATTAGTCCTTTTTCTGCTCTGGAGAATTTTAATTCCAGTTATTATAGGCAGGGTGGAGCGGGTGGAGACGAGTGTCAGGGGTGAGCTGTGACAGAAGGTGAGCAGGAAGACTGAAAGAGGAGGTTTAAAGATGGCACTGAGATGGCGATGGTTTGGAGACGGTGGAGCTGAGCTGATGTTCGCTGGGAGCGAGCGGGATCATCGTGGGTGGACGGCCAGTCGACTCCTGGTGCTTTTAAATGTTCTTAAAAGGGACTTCAGGAAACCTTCAGGAGCATGGAGCTGCGTTACCCCTTTAAGACCTACCATAGAACCAAGTCCGCCAGAGCTTACTTTATATTTTTACATGCTGCGGAGCCATTTCTGGGAGCATTTCAAGCTGCTATACATCAATACAACTGTTATAGCCCAAATTTTAATAATATTTATGCATTAAATCCATAGTAACCACATTAATTGCAAAAAAGTGCAACAAACTACTGAAATATTGAAATCGTTTTTTTTTTTTAACATATATTTCTAATTAGAGAAATTTAAGAGGTTTATCCCTCAAAACTTTAAATACAATAAAGTTGCAAAAAATAGTTTACAACAACAGGAAATTTATTTTGAGTGCCTTCATAGTTTTATTTTTGAGATACAGCAATTTTTATACACTGCAGGAAAAACAAAAAACAATCCTATGATGCAAATTTGCAAAGAAAACAGCAGGTGCATCAAAATAAACTATTTCCAGCAGTGCAATTCGAGTTCTAAGCATCCCAGAAACTATTCAGAAAAGCATAAAGTCAAACATGACTTTATGCACCAGTATAAAAAACACCAGTATAGGCTTTTAAGGCCTACAAGTAAAAAAACTACATTTTCCGCGAAAATGACGTCACTTCCGGTTTCGGACAGGTAATGGCGGACATGCGATAGTTCGCGCTGACGTCTGTTTCACTGTGGGAAGTGTTACGACAGCTGATCGGATCAGCAAAGCGTTTTTCTGGAATATTACGTTTTTGTTCCTGCAAGCGCTTTTTATGCAATTTTTGCAAAGCTATATGTGGAAGGAAACTGTGACCGAGGACAAGCTGATGGCATAAGATGTAAGTACAACTCCTCCGGTTTCATATGCAAAAAAAATTATTGCGCTAGCTTACACGGTTCAGGTTCTACAGGGATTTAAAAATAGTTACACAAAACGGAGCGTGCTGCTCTGACCGGCTTTAAAGAGTTAAAGCTTCAAATCTAAAGACATTCATTTCACTCTTGTTTGTAAAAGGCTCTGAATCCATTAGGTTTGGGTAGAACTCAGTCCGTTTTTGATATGTGCTTCAAAATGATGCCCCAAACCTTTAGATAACACGTCTCACAGAAATCTTAGTGATGGGTTCAGATAACAATAGCAACTGCATACACACATTCTTGTTTTGCTATCTTAGTGAGGACATCTACTTGAAAAATAAATGCCTAACCCTTAGCCTAAGCCTAACCATAACCCAACTGTAACCCTGACACTAAAACCACATTTTGAGTCTCAAAAATACCTTCAAACTTGTGGGGACCCCACGAAGATATGAATACACACACACACACACACACACACACACACACACACACACACACACACACAGCAGGTGGGGACACGCACTGGTTTAACTGCGATGAAGAGGCAGGACGTACCTTCTGAGACGTAGGCGAATGGTTTGTTCCTGACCGACAGTAAAGTCAGCAGGTTGAAGAAGAGAGCGACGAAGGTCCCGACCAGCAGACGCCCGCTGCAGACAGAGAGAAACACGTTCAACATGTTATCCAGACACGGTTAGGTCTGCAAACGTTCCCACAGGAACACAGGGTTCACATGTAGGCACGACAGATCTGAATCAAAGGATCGGACTCTGATCGCCTCAATTCAAGGAGCCAAACACAAATATTGCTTTAAAAGTTTATGACTGCAGTCGCTTTTGTACATTTTCAGATAAAGAAGTAGAATAAAGTCCATGAAATAAATCTAAGATACACTTTTTGTATTTTAAATATACATGTTAAAGGAATGACGGTAGATTGTGGATGGGATTAAGATGCTGGAACGATGGCTTCAACTTATATTTGCGTTTTCTTTCTATTTAAATGAAATAATTTGTGCTGGCAACCTCAGGTGTGCCATCTTCTTTATATATTGCGTTCACTGAGATTTTTGTATTTTTTAGCTGCGGCTCTTTGAGCATCGAGCTCTGATCGGCATGGATGAATTTCCATCGATCAGAGTTGGATTCAGGAGATGATGAACGGCGTGCTGCACAGAACTGTAGAGGTTACGAGGAAAGGTGAACGCTGTGAACTCCAATAAGTCTTTGAAACATCTGAAATTCTTATGATTGGTCACGAGGTTATTGTAGTTATCTAAAACTAAAAACTTAAACTTGACCTTTAAAAAACTGAAACCTCGAGAGTTTCACTTACTAAACAAAACAAACACTGAAACAGTGAAGTGGAGCAAACAGACTGAGCCCCCACGTGGCCACACCCTCGCCTCCCCGAGACCTTTTCCAGCGATCGGGCCCTCAGATCATCTGATCAGGGTCCACATCGACCGCGCTCTCAAGGCTGTACCTCCTAAAGTGTGACGCAGCCCTGAAAACGCACGTTTACGGGGTCGCCTTTCCTTCATCTGTCATCACTGATCTTATTCAGCTACAGCCATGGATGCTGGGATATGTACGCCTCTTTAACTGGTGAAGCACTGCTCTAAGACACGCTGTACACATAAAGGTAAAACTTTTAGAGGATCATCGGACCAACAATTTTAAGGTCTAAAATCTAAAAAAAAAAAAAAAGACGTCATCAGCAAGCTAAACAGCTGAAGTACAGATTAACGTTTTTAATTAACATCCTTGTAATAAGAGCCTGTAAATAGATGCTTAGTAAACCATGTTAATGAGACTTAATAAACAAACAAACACAGAGTTTGAGCTCGACGGCTGTTTGAGTGATTAAAATTTAATGGTTAATGTTTTTAAGGCTTTGTCTTTGTGTCCCCAGAAGAAGTCGAGTGACTGTGTAGTATGAGCACAGATTTACACACACACACACACACACACACACACACACACACACACACACACACACACACACACACACACACACACACACACACACACACACACCAATACACTAATCACACGGGACAATCCATTTAAGAGCCTAGAAATTTGGTCCAAACAATCAGCGGGAGGCGAAACGCTGCCCGACGGTGAGCCAGAATAACTGGATGATAACCTCCTCCTCCCTTTAAAAAGGAGATTAAAGAGAGAGAGAGTGTGTGTGAATGTCTCTCGCTCGGCGGACACCTTTCATGCCGTCCAATCACATCTCGTCAGAGAGGAGAGAGAGAGAGCAGAGTGGGGGGCGGGGGGGTAATCTCGTCACAAGAGACAGGTTTAAAGCTCGCTGTTTTATTTTATAAAAGCCGTCGCTAATCTGCTTTAGAACCGAGAGAGATGGACAAAGATGGAGAGGGGACGAGCGAGAGAGGAGAAATTATATTGCAGAAATCAATAATCATGATTGTTTTGGTCAGATTTTAAAACAACTATCACTGACTCAGGGTCGTCTGCTAGGGAGTTTAGGGGAGTCGTCATGTAGTCAGTATAAAAGAGGGCCGCAGTTTCTGAAACACGAAGCCGATACTGCCCTAAACCTGCATTCTATTTAATATCCACCAGGGGGCGACAGGTGTGGGACGAAAAAGACTTCTAGACCTGCTGAAACTAAGAGAAAACTGTCAAAATCAACAACCTGTAGTGATGACTGGAAAAATAACAATCGGTGAGCTGGTTCTAAAAGCGAGGTTGAGACGAGCGATGGAGGCAACCACCAATCAGAGTGAAGGGTACGACTGATTGACTTATTCTGAGTGGTAAACATATCAGAGGGCTACCTGTGGATCCTGAAATACCAACCACCAGATACAAAACAATGCATGAAACTTAAACTAAAGTTATCGAAGGATCACTTTGCATGAACGCGGGACATCAGCGCGAGGTGTTTCTGACATGGAAGGCCAGCCTGAAACCTCCACCATGAGAAGTATTGCTGTGTCACGTGGGGGTAACAAGAAGCTTGGGCAGCATCAGGTTATCCCCAAGCTTTCCTGGACTAACCCGGGGTCTCCTTTTGGTTTGGAACTCCAAAGGGAGGCGTCCTGACATCCAGGAGACGAACTCGGCTGACCACTTCCATCTGAGTTCACGACTGTTAGCAACTCAGCTCTCTTTACCGCGATGGTTTGGTACAGTGCTCGCATCACTGGGACCGTCGAGAAACTAAAATATCAACCAGCGACTTCCCATTCAGACGCAAACTGAGTTAAACTTTGATGTTTGGCTGCGCCGATGCCTCAAAGGTTCAGTAAAACCTCCACGCTCCACCTTCCCAACGCTCATATCTCCACTCTGATTACCTTGATGTTTATTCCAGACTTCACAAGAAATCTGAACAACCTACAGAAAACTCTGAAACCAGGAAAACACTCGGTAGGTATGGAAAACATAAACGATACCACCGAGGGAGGAAGCATGGACAGATCTTACTGGTCTGCTTTAGTTGGTGTATGCAGACTGGTCAGTGAAGGAGGCGAGGGTTCAGCGTGCTGCTGTGGACAAACACGATCCTCCGACTCAGTCCCAATCCCGCCGTGTTTGTGGGTCTGTCTGACCCAGTTTGTTTGGGATGTTCTGTTCTGACAACAGCTGGCAGGCTCTGTGTGTGTGCTTTTACAGACACACACACGGGGGCATCATGCTGTGTCTGTTTATTTTACAATGTCACATGGGAATTTGTGTGTGTGTGTGTGTGTGTGTGTGTGTGTGTGTGTGTGTGTGTGTGTGTGTGTGTGTGTGTGTGTGTGTGTGTGTGCATGGGTAATACTTACGTATGGACCTCAGGCTGCTCCATGAAGCGCTCCACACTAACAAAACAGAAACAAACACCGTCAACAACAGTGGCCAGGTGGGACTACACTGTGTGTGTGTGTGTGTGTGTGTGTGTGTGTGTGTGTGTGTGTGTGTGTGAGCTAGAGGCAGAGTGATCGAGACAAATGAAATGAATCAAAGGAGACAAGGGGTGAACAAACAGAGAGAAAACAGGAAATACATTAACACACATGCACGCACAAGCATGCATGACATGGTTTCATCTGGCTCCGCCCCCTGTGCTGCTGCCCTACTGAGCCTTTCATGGTGTGCACAGACCCCCCCCACCTCCCCCAACATGCATGCACGCGCACACACACACACACACACACACACACACACACACACAAAGCTTTGTGTGTGTGTGTGTGCTGCCTCGCTCACAGGAAGGAGCAGAAACGAAGAAAATCGCAGACCTTTAAATTAAACTGCTGTTTAACAGCAGCATCAAAACCGTGAACGTCCACCAGCAACATACAGGAAGATTTAACCCTCGAGTGCCCGGTCTGGTGCACAGTCACCAAACATGAGTGTATCAGATGAAATGGTCACGACTTTTAACCTGTTCATTTGGGTTTCTACTCGTAACTGAAAATCCTCCAAAGAGAGCCATGTTTCCTGACTTCCTTTCGTAAACCACCTCAACCTGACGGAGCTGCAACTCCACGCTGCCTTCAGAGCTCCTCCTGCATCTGCAGCCTCATGGTTCTGGTCATCCAAGAGTTCATGACAGAGGGAGCCACAGACAGAGGGACACGAGGAGAGAGGGAGCCACAGACAGAGGGACACAAGGACAGAGGGAGCCACAGACAGAGGGAGACGAGGAGAGAGGGACTCACAGACAGAGGGACACGAGGAGAGAGGGAGCCACAGACAGAGGGACACGAGGACAGAGGGAGCCACAGACAGAGGGAGACGAGGAGAGAGGGACTCACAGACAGAGGGACACGAGGAGAGAGGGAGCCACAGACAGAGGGAGACGAGGAGAGAGGGACTCACAGACAGAGGGACACGAGGAGAGAGGGAGCCACAGACAGAGGGACACGAGGACAGAGGGAGCCACAGACAGAGGGAGACGAGGAGAGAGGGACTCACAGACAGAGGGACACGAGGAGAGAGGGAGCCACAGACAGAGGGAGACGAGGAGAGAGGGACTCACAGACAGAGGGACACGAGGAGAGAGGGAGCCACAGACAGAGGGACACGAGGACAGAGGGAGCCACAGACAGAGGGAGACGAGGAGAGAGGGACTCACAGACAGAGGGACACGAGGAGAGAGGGAGCCACAGACAGAGGGAGACGAGGAGAGAGGGACTCACAGACAGAGGGACACGAGGAGAGAGGGAGCCACAGACAGAGGGACACGAGGACAGAGGGAGCCACAGACAGAGGGACACGAGGACAGAGGGAACCACAGACAGAGGGACACGAGGAGAGAGGGACCCACAGACAGAGGGACACGAGGAGAGAGGGACTCACAGACAGAGGGACACGAGGAGAGAGGGACTCACAGACAGAGGGACACGAGGACAGAGGGAGCCACAGACAGAGGGACACGAGGACAGAGGGAGCCACAGACAGAGGGACACGAGGAGAGAGGGACTCACAGACAGAGGGAGACGAGGAGAGAGGGACTCACAGACAGAGGGAGACGAGGAGAGAGGGAGCCACAGACAGAGGGACACAAGGACAGAGGGAGCCACAGACAGAGGGAGACGAGGACAGAGGGACTCACAGACAGAGGGACACGAGGAGAGAGGGACTCACAGACAGAGGGACACAAGGAGAGAGGGGGCCACAGACAGAGGGACACGAGGACAGAGGGAGCCACAGACAGAGGGAGACGAGGAGAGAGGGACTCACAGACAGAGGGACACGAGGAGAGAGGGAGCCACAGACAGAAGGACACGAGGACAGAGGGAGCCACAGACAGAGGGAGACGAGGAGAGAGGGACTCACAGACAGAGGGACACGAGGAGAGAGGGAGCCACAGACAGAGGGACACGAGGACAGAGGGAGCCACAGACAGAGGGAGACGAGGAGAGAGGGACTCACAGACAGAGAGGGACACGAGGAGAGAGGGAGCCACAGACAGAGGGACACGAGGACAGAGGGAGCCACAGACAGAGGGACACGAGGACAGAGGGAGCCACAGACAGAGGGACACGAGGAGAGAGGGACTCACAGACAGAGGGAGACGAGGAGAGAGGGACTCACAGACAGAGGGACACGAGGAGAGAGGGAGCCACAGACAGAGGGACACGAGGACAGAGGGAGCCACAGACAGAGGGAGACGAGGAGAGAGGGACTCACAGACAGAGGGACACGAGGAGAGAGGGACCCACAGACAGAGGGACACGAGGAGAGAGGGAGCCACAGACAGAGGGACACGAGGACAGAGGGAGCCACAGACAGAGGGAGACGAGGAGAGAGGGACTCACAGACAGAGGGACACGAGGAGAGAGGGACTCACAGACAGAGGGACACGAGGAGAGAGGGAGCCACAGACAGAGGGACACGAGGACAGAGGGAGCCACAGACAGAGGGACACGAGGAGAGAGGGAGCCACAGACAGAGGGACACGAGGAGAGAGGGACTCACAGACAGAGGGAGACGAGGAGAGAGGGACTCACAGACAGAGGGACACGAGGAGAGAGGGAGCCACAGACAGAGGGACACGAGGACAGAGGGAGCCACAGACAGAGGGACACGAGGAGAGAGGGAGCCACAGACAGAGGGACACGAGGAGAGAGGGACTCACAGACAGAGGGAGACGAGGAGAGAGGGACTCACAGACAGAGGGACACGAGGAGAGAGGGAGCCACAGACAGAGGGACACGAGGAGAGAGGGAGCCACAGACAGAGGGACACGAGGAGAGAGGGACTCACAGACAGAGGGACACGAGGAGAGAGGGACTCACAGACAGAGGGACACGAGGACAGAGGGAGCCACAGACAGAGGGACACGAGGAGAGAGGGAGCCACAGACAGAGGGACACGAGGACAGAGGGAGCCACAGACAGAGGGAGACGAGGAGAGAGGGACTCACAGACAGAGGGACACGAGGAGAGAGGGAGCCACAGACAGAGGGACACGAGGACAGAGGGAGCCACAGACAGAGGGAGACGAGGAGAGAGGGACTCACAGACAGAGGGACACGAGGAGAGAGGGAGCCACAGACAGAGGGAGACGAGGAGAGAGGGACTCACAGACAGAGGGACACGAGGAGAGAGGGAGCCACAGACAGAGGGAGACGAGGAGAGAGGGACTCACAGACAGAGGGACACGAGGAGAGAGGGAGCCACAGACAGAGGGACACGAGGACAGAGGGAGCCACAGACAGAGGGAGACGAGGAGAGAGGGACTCACAGACAGAGGGACACGAGGAGAGAGGGAGCCACAGACAGAGGGAGACGAGGAGAGAGGGACTCACAGACAGAGGGACACGAGGAGAGAGGGAGCCACAGACAGAGGGACACGAGGACAGAGGGAGCCACAGACAGAGGGACACGAGGACAGAGGGAACCACAGACAGAGGGACACGAGGACAGAGGGAGCCACAGACAGAGGGACACGAGGAGAGAGGGACTCACAGACAGAGGGACACGAGGAGAGAGGGAGCCACAGACAGAGGGACACGAGGACAGAGGGAGCCACAGACAGAGGGACACGAGGACAGAGGGAACCACAGACAGAGGGACACGAGGACAGAGGGAGCCACAGACAGAGGGACACGAGGAGAGAGGGACTCACAGACAGAGGGACACGAGGAGAGAGGGAGCCACAGACAGAGGGACACGAGGACAGAGGGAGCCACAGACAGAGGGACACGAGGACAGAGGGAGCCACAGACAGAGGGACACGAGGAGAGAGGGACTCACAGACAGAGGGAGACGAGGAGAGAGGGACTCACAGACAGAGGGACACGAGGAGAGAGGGAGCCACAGACAGAGGGACACAAGGACAGAGGGAGCCACAGACAGAGGGAGACGAGGAGAGAGGGACTCACAGACAGAGGGACACGAGGAGAGAGGGACTCACAGACAGAGGGACACGAGGAGAGAGGGAGCCACAGACAGAGGGACACGAGGACAGAGGGAGCCACAGACAGAGGGAGACGAGGAGAGAGGGACTCACAGACAGAGGGACACGAGGAGAGAGGGAGCCACAGACAGAGGGACACGAGGACAGAGGGAGCCACAGACAGAGGGAGACGAGGAGAGAGGGACTCACAGACAGAGGGACACGAGGAGAGAGGGAGCCACAGACAGAGGGACACGAGGACAGAGGGAGCCACAGACAGAGGGAGACGAGGAGAGAGGGACTCACAGACAGAGAGGGACACAAGGAGAGAGGGAGCCACAGACAGAGGGACACGAGGACAGAGGGAGCCACAGACAGAGGGACACGAGGACAGAGGGAGCCACAGACAGAGGGACACGAGGAGAGAGGGACTCACAGACAGAGGGAGACGAGGAGAGAGGGACTCACAGACAGAGGGACACGAGGAGAGAGGGAGCCACAGACAGAGGGACACGAGGACAGAGGGAGCCACAGACAGAGGGAGACGAGGAGAGAGGGACTCACAGACAGAGGGACATGAGGAGAGAGGGACTCACAGACAGAGGGACACGAGGAGAGAGGGAGCCACAGACAGAGGGACACGAGGACAGAGGGAGCCACAGACAGAGGGAGACGAGGAGAGAGGGACTCACAGACAGAGGGACACGAGGAGAGAGGGACTCACAGACAGAGGGACACGAGGAGAGAGGGAGCCACAGACAGAGGGACACGAGGACAGAGGGAGCCACAGACAGAGGGACACGAGGAGAGAGGGAGCCACAGACAGAGGGACACGAGGAGAGAGGGACTCACAGACAGAGGGAGACGAGGAGAGAGGGACTCACAGACAGAGGGACACGAGGAGAGAGGGAGCCACAGACAGAGGGACACGAGGACAGAGGGAGCCACAGACAGAGGGACACGAGGAGAGAGGGACTCACAGACAGAGGGACACGTGGAGAGAGGGACTCACAGACAGAGGGACACGAGGAGAGAGGGACCCACAGACAGAGGGACACGAGGAGAGAGGGACTCACAGACAGAGGGACACGAGGACAGAGGGAGCCACAGACAGAGGGACACGAGAAGAGAGGGAGCCACAGACAGAGGGACACGAGAAGAGAGGGAGCCACAGACAGAGGGACACGAGGACAGAGGGAGCCACAGACAGAGGGACACGAGGAGAGAGGGAGCCACAGACAGAGGGAGACGAGGAGAGAGGGACTCACAGACAGAGGGACACGAGGAGAGAGGGACTCACAGACAGAGGGACACGAGGAGAGAGGGAGCCACAGACAGAGGGACACGAGGAGAGAGGGACTCACAGACAGAGGGAGACGAGGAGAGAGGGACTCACAGACAGAGGGACACGAGGAGAGAGGGACTCACAGACAGAGGGACACGAGGAGAGAGGGAGCCACAGACAGAGGGACACGAGAAGAGAGGGAGCCACAGACAGAGGGACACGAGGACAGAGGGAGCCACAGACAGAGGGACACGAGGAGAGAGGGAGCCACAGACAGAGGGACACGAGGAGAGAGGGACTCACAGACAGAGGGACACGAGGAGAGAGGGAGCCACAGACAGAGGGACACGAGAAGAGAGGGAGCCACAGACAGAGGGACACGAGGACAGAGGGAGCCACAGACAGAGGGACACGAGGAGAGAGGGAGCCACAGACAGAGGGACACGAGGAGAGAGGGACTCACAGACAGAGGGACACGAGGAGAGAGGGAGCCACAGACAGAGGGACACGAGGAGAGAGGGACTCACAGACAGAGGGACACGTGGAGAGAGGGACTCACAGACAGAGGGACACGAGGAGAGAGGGACTCACAGACAGAGGGACACGAGGAGAGAGGGACCCACAGACAGAGGGTAGGTGGACTGACAGATCTAAAGCTGAGCTCAGTCTGATAACACGTCTGTATCAAACCTCACATTCCTCCTTTGCATCACTCGTGAAGAAGAACATCCCAGAATATCTGAGCGCTCTCTCAGCACAGTGAGGTTCTGGGACTAAACACCTTCGTGGTTAAATTTAGGCAATGAAAATGAGGTGCAGGCTGTTTTTCATCCATGTCACCTCTGTGAGTCTGCACAGAGAGACAGACTCTGCAGCAGTAAATCTCGTGACCCTCGGTGTGTTAGGTCGGAATTAGAAGCTCGCCACACCAATGATCCAGCTCATGTACGAGTCGTGGTGAACTTGACGTGTTGAATTTACCTGAGACGTTTCACTGACAGCTGCAGTGCAACTGAAGACTTTAACCTCACTGAACCACAAACCGATCGGCTGTATTTAAACCTGATGGGATTTTTGCTTTTATTAATGGAGCTAATCAAGTTTACTCTGAGTAAATCACTTTATGCAGCATTCAGGTTTGCAATATTAAAACTAAGACTCAGGCTAAGCTGCAGAGTCCTGACTGAGCACAGACAGAGAGCACATTTCCCCATCATTAGTGTCTCTGTGGAGAAATGAATTTAAAATCCTTAAACGTCAGGCCCGATTAAAGACCTCGTAGCAGCACATCATCCACACACTGCAGGCTGACTCGTGGTTTGCAGAGTAACTCAACGTTATAATGGAAGGCAGAGCAGTCAGGACTCTCTCCTGTGGAGCGAGTCGCAGTAATAAATACAAATGAACTTTCTGTGAATCTGATTTTCCTCTTACACAAAGGCCACGTTTACAAAGTACTCTGTGGTATTTTAGGTGTGTGTGGTCAGTTTTCCTCGACGCTCCGTTCATAAATGCATTTATGCAGGTTGATAAATGCTGAGGCCAATATTCCCAAAACACACACGTGTCTGCAGATGAAAGCGTGAACAGACCTGTGTGTGTGTCTGTGTGTGTTTCAGTTTTCTGGAAAGGGAAAGGAACCCCTCCCTCCCCTAAGAACTGACCGCAGGACAACCTCACACAGGCCACCTGAAGGTGTGACTGTGTGTTTGTGTTTGTGTGTGTTACACTGACAGACACAGCTAGGCAGTGACATTCCCACAGTCTGAAAAACATCTCTCACACACACACACACACACACACACACACACACACACACACACACTACAGCAACCCACTTGCCCAAAAAGTGTTTGTGTTTTAGAGTTTAGCAGAAAAACTATTTCACACCCATTTTTGTCCACTTGTTTAACATCAGTCTCATCACAGTTTGCAAGAACTATAACTGTCAGTTTGTGAGATCACTATTTAAAAAACGCTGGCAGGAGTAAAGAAAGAAGGACTTTTTCCAGAAGAACGATTGTGTTTAATCGAGATAAGGCTTAGACGTGAATGAAGTGTGTGTTCACACTTTTACCCGAACAAACCACGGGTTCACAAACTTTTGAATGTTCAAGAGGATTAACAGTGTGAGTGAGAGAGACCTACACACCTTTCCTTCAGGATGAACAAAGCTCCCAGCTGGACGAGAACAGTGGAGGCAAAAACTGCCAAAACTTCCAGTCTTTCAAACCTGCAGACAAGAGGAACACACACACAGTCAGATATATATACACGACACACCAACACACTCATCAAAATCCAAAAACGCTGATGTTTTGGACTCATGCTGGTGTACGGTCACTTCCTGACGGCTTTGAGCACCTATAAGCAATATTCCCACTGCAGCAGCTTCGGCGGCCGAGGGAGATCTTCTCAGCATTTATAGGGTTGGATGCTTGATTCAGATTCTGGGTCTAAAGGTTTCCCTGAAACACCTCAAGAAAAAGAGATTACGATTTCTATTTTCATGGGCCTCTGTCAAAAACAAAGTAAAAAACGGTAGATTAAGAGCAAAAAAGGACAATTATGGAGTAAAAATAGTCAAATATAGAATAAAACAGAATGGAGTTTATTCCTTCCAGACTCAAACATGAAGCTGAGGTCTGTCGTCTCCGAGCCTCGGGACACGTCCCTGCTTTGGGTTCACACTTTAATGCTCATGCACAGGAACATAGCCTGACATAACCTCTCCACAGGGAGACAAATGAACCGCTCCGCTCTCTAACACCAGCTTTACTCTGTGAAGCATATTCAAATATAGTCACTCAAATATACATTAGATCCATCTCACTACAATAACCTGAACCAGGATGTGCCACAGCTGCAGATGCATGTCAAATCAAAACGAAGCAAGCGTCGGCCTCAGGGCGAAGAGATGAAGCTGCGACTCAAAGTACTACAGCTGCAGTTCCTCTAGTGCCCACCAGATGCTCCATCAGTGAGTCAGTCTCCATTAGGGCTGGGTATCGATTTTGATTTCTATGATCGAATCGATTTAATTCAATTTGGACTCAAACGGTCAGAAAAATTATAATTCTGATCATTTATCAGCACATCTCCATATTTTATATATGTATAAAAACAAAGCTGACACTGTGAGACTTCGTCAGAGGAGTGAGCATCACAGCAGACGCCTTTGTGTCAAAGTCACTGAGGATAAAACAGAAAAACATGAAGCACATTTTCCTGTCCTGTCCTGTTTCTAACAGAGAACCTTAAAAATATTCTGCACTCGATCAAAAACTGAGGAAAACCATGAATCAACATCTTTACGTTACCTGATGCTGCTGAAGTGAAGCAGAGCAAAGTTACAGAGGTTTGATTACAGACACAATGAAGCAATTTGGCATCACTTTAAAAAGTTTACATTTCTTCCTGACTGAACAGCAGAAATGAGGCTTTACTGTCATTTTTGGAGGAAAAAAAAACAGAGGCCGACAGCACTGAACACAACTGTAGACTCGTGCGTAACAAGCAAGAGAATAATGCAGAAAACTGAGATGTTTGATGGTAAACTGGTCTCTGAGTACGCTGAGAGAGAGCGCTGTGAGGAAGTGTGATTTTATCGTGGTGGAAGCAAAAGTAAAAGAGAATTCATGACGATGTTTATCGAACGTGTAGTTCGGATCTTCTTTTGCTGCTGGTTCAGTGAACTTTGGCTGGAGTGATGAAACCTGCAGCCTCAGAATCTGTGAGACGTCGGCTTTCAGCCCCGGGGGCGTGTCCGTACCATCGAGTGACCGTGTACCTGCTCTCATTTACTGTTTCACCTGTTTGGCGGGTGCTGAAATAGTTCTGTGACCTTTAACCTGAGATTCTGGCGTTTCTGGCAAAATGTATTTATAGTTAAAAATCGATTCAGGATTTAATGAATGAATATCGTTTTATTCAAACTAAAATCATTTTGAATCGGAAAAAACGATTTTTTAAACCCACCCCGAGTCCCCTGAGACTCCCAGGTTAAAGTTTACAGCAGAAATAAACATGTTTACAGCCTGATGCACTGATGTACATTTAAGGAGGACTGGTTCAGTTTGAGTCTGCAGTCTCAGAGGAGGAAGCTCATGTAAAACATACTGACGGCTGCATTACGTGTGAGTATTCTCTGTGAGGAACCAAAGCTCAACACCAGCTGATTCAGACCGGAATAAACCCTTATGTCACCAATAACAACCATGAATACACCTCTGAGTTTAGTCAAAGTCAACTTTATTGTCAATTCTGCCACATGTACAGGACATACAGAGAATAGAAACGACGTTACTCTCAATCCCTAGATAAAATAGCAAATGAACATTTAAATATAAGAGTGATTAAAAAATGCAGGTAAAATAATTAAAAAGTAAAAATTTAAATAAATACAATACAATTTTACATATAACAAGAAAGCTATACAATATACAATATAATGGGTAAATGACATTGGGTGTAAACCACCTTAACTCCACCCTCTCACATCCACCCGGTTTATCGGACACATTCACACGTTCTTTCCTTTGACAGGAAGTACAGTTTCTCTCAGAAGACACTTTGATTTCCAGGTACCTGTTTAGCCCCTCCCTCTCGCAGTCATTTGTCCTGACCCTGCAGGTGCAGGTGAGGTGAACAGATCGGGGCTAAGAGGCTGAGTGGATTCAGTCTCAGCTCTAAAGAAGAAACTTGGCTGCACAGTTAGAGGTTTGATTTCTGAATGTGACCGTGTTCAGAAATCTCTGAACCTCTCAGCCGGTGTCGTCACCGCCGTTTGTGGCAGCACATCGTGTGGGCGGGACTCGTCACCAGGGAAAAATGGGGATGTCTATTTCCGAGCAGCGAGATAAGGCGGACAGAGACAGGAATGGGGCGACGCCAGTCCTTTGCACAATGGTGGCGACAGTGGTGATGAGCTGTCAAGATACTGTTGCCATAGAGACAAAAACCAGAGACTTATGAAGCGACTGGATTTGTCCAAAGTCCTTCAATCTCAGAAAAACGCAAACCCTGTTTAAGTGCGAACACTGATGGATCTGAACTCTTTCATACTTATTTTTCCTAAAGATAATTATAACATGTGCCAATTCCTGTTTTTGATTTTAGACCAATAAGATTCAGCAGCTCATAGGACCGCCTTCAGCAACAATAAGCTGCTGTGATGGTTTCTACTTTTCTTTACGGCGTTGCTTCAGCTCACAGAGGTTTTCAGCACAGCTCTTTGAAGCTGCAGCATCTCAGTCAAGCTGAGCTCTGCGCTGTGACATCACCATCGCTGCAGCTTCATTCTGTCCTTCTTCAGCTGTTCTGTTGCAGATTTGCAGCTGTGATTGGATCTTTGTCCTGCTGATGACTCAGTTTGGTCCAAGCTGTAGCTGTGGGACACATGTGACTCTACTTCGGGCGATCGTGGCTCAAGAGTTGGGAGTTCGCCTTGTAATCAGAAGGTTGCCGGTTCGAGCCCCAGCTTAGACAGTCTCGGTCGTTGTGTCCTTGGGCAAGACACTTCACCTGTTGCCTACTGGTGGTGGTCAGAGGGCCCGGTGGCGCCAGTGTCCGGCAGCCTCGCCTCTGTAAGTGCGGCCCAGGCTGGCTGTGGCTACAATGTAGCTGCCATCACCAGTGTGTGAATGTGTGTGTGAATGGGTGGGTGACTGGATATGTAAAGCGCTTTGGGGTCCTTAGGGACTAGTAAAGCGCTATATAAATACAGGCCATTTACCATTCTGTATACTGAGGAGTTCACGGTCCACTCCTCCCCGTGCTCACAGCTGGTCTGAGGAGTTGGTTTTGACAAACGTCTCCTCTGTGGTCTCGTCTGTTCCAGCAGTCTTGTTCTTTGTTCAGATGCAGCTTTGCAAACCTAAGCTGTGCTGCTAACCTTTCCAAACCTGCCATGACCTTTAACCTTAAGCCTGCTAACTGAGGCCTGTAGAATCTGCAGTGGAGCACAGCCCGGTCTGACCTCAGGGGGACTTTGCTGGACGTCCATTCCTGAGAGGACTGTGGCATTAACACACACCTGAACGCTCCAAACCTCTGCTTTACAGATGTGCTCACTCTTACTGATGCTCAACTAATCAAGTGCGTTGATTAGCAGCACCTGTCTGGTAATCAAAACAGGCGGGGGGGGGACAAGGTCTTGTGAGAGACTTTACTCGACGTCAGCGGGCTAACTCCCGACGCCTTCAGGTTAATGGGTTCCTCGTCTCACCAGGACTGCAGAGTGGGGACGCTCACAGATGACTCCTAAATAAAATCCCACATAGTTCCCACTGATGTGGGGTCAAAGGTCACACTCTGCTCTGCAACCTCCTGTGGTTAATCTACACAGGCTCCACGTAAAGCTGCCGTCTGCTGACATCATCATGTGTGCCCCTCCTCCTAGTTAAAGATAAGATCAATATTGATCGTACATAAAGTCAGTTTAGTGAGGACGCGTTATTACCGTCCATCACGCCGCTGACTTAACGAAGTGAGTCACTGCTCAACCTGGAAACGCGCTCAGTGCTAATGAATCAACACCACGCTGTCGGGTGGTGGCGATGATGTTTTGGGGGAAACAGAATTAGAAGCTGCCTCCTTCGCTCTGACAGCCCTGTCACCGTGCAGATGACAGCGCCGCTATTCATGGTTTATAATTGTTTCAAACATTTGAGTCTAAACATTTATTCACCCTGTAAATCCACTTTATTGTGTTATATTCACACATTAATGCAGCTTATGAAAGCTCTTGGTTACTTTTAGAATTTAACTGTTATTATGTGAAATTCTTTTCATGTAACTGAGATATTTTATTTCTAACAGTTTGCATTTAGTGTTTAATTTCATGTTCTTAACGTCTGGGATGAAAAAAAGAATATTTCTGATTAAAAATACTTATGGGGATAGTTTTGACTGCTAATTTAAATGGCTGAATGATAACGTCCCACTGTGATCAGGTGGTCATCACCGAGTGAAGATCTGGATCGTGTTTATCTTTTCATTATTCGTCAGCGTTTATTTTTTGTTTGATGTCCTTTATTAAATTGTACATTTACTGTTTTCTTGTTTTTATGCATCATGTCTTAATTTTAATGAACTGTAAATTGTCTTTATCCAGCATCATTTCATACAATTTATTTTATTTGTATATTCTAAACATACTCTGGGTATAATTACAGTTAACTGGTCATTTTGGGCACATAAGCTCCGCCCACCTACTGATCAAACTTTTGGTTTGTGAGGGATAGCCAATCAGAAGAACGCTGATTTCATGGAGGAATTAAAATAGTTTGAGGATGATCCTACAGGCTGCAGAAAAGCCCAGAATCAGTAAAATATGGATTATTTTGAACTGTGAATCATGCAAAGCTGCTCTAACAGTTAGAATAAAAATATGGAGCTGGATAACTTTCATGATAAGCCTACTGTGATCAAACTAAACTGCAGCCTGAGGTGGTCATGAGGTGCTAAGCATTAGAACAAACATGGATCAGGCTAATTCCTGAAAAGACCAGTTCAGCTCCGGTGGGGTTTAAAGGAGTCAGACACTGGTTGAACTGGGCTGTGGGCCATTTAGGTACTGAAAGTCCATTAGGACACACACACAATTGCAGACACACAAACACACACTTGGGCATTATTGGTGTCAACTGAAGCTGAAAAGCAGATTTCCACACGATCACCAGTCTCCCACACCTCAAGGTCAGAGATCACCTGTCAGCTGCAAAAGCACTGTTTAGCCAGCTCACAGACACACACAGACAGTAAACTGGCTGTGTGTGTGTGTTCGTGAGAGACACACAAACAAATGACAGCGCATAAACAAACACAGATGGAGCCCAAACCAAAGGAAGGAAGCGATGCTGATACATTCATGTCAGTAACGACTGCAGTAAATATAAACCAACGGATGCCTAAAAATAAATCTCTCAGGTCTGGACCTGGAAAACGAGTCTACAGTCTGGAGTGGATCACGGCCACAGAAGGTCGCTGCTAATTTCACTTTTCAGAGGCCGACGTTTAGCAACGAAAACCAAAAGCAAAGGCACAAAGCATGAAGTAAGGAGAGCCTTCAAGAGAGTGAACACCAGGAAAGCAGCAGGACCAGACGGCATCCCAGGTCGTATCCTAAGAGACTGCGCATACCAGCTAGCTCCTGTGTTCACTGAGATATTCAACATCTCTTTATCTCAGTCGGTGATCCCCACATGCTTCAAAGAGTCCATCATTGTTCCTGTCCCGAAGACACCCCCCCTGCTTCTCTCAATGACTATCGCCCTGTAGCCCTCACCTCAGTAGTGATGAAGTGCTTTGAACGCCTGGTCAGAGACTTCATCATTTCTTCACTACCAGACACACTGGACCCACTACAGTTTGCTTACCGTCCAAATCGTTCCACAGACGATGCCATCTCTCATCTCCTCCACACATCACTCACTCACTTGGACACTAGAAGGGGGAATTATGTTAAAATGCTCTTCATAGACTACAGCTCTGCATTTAACACCATAATTCCCTCCACACTCACCACCAAGCTGGAGCATCTGGGACTCAGCTCATCTATGTGTCAGTGGATCTCCAACTTCCTAACTGGCAGACCACAGGCAGTAAGGATGGGCGGACATGTCTCAGCCTCCACCACTCTCAGCACTGGAGCCCCCCAGGGGTGTGTTCTGAGCCCCCTGCTGTACTCTTTGTACACTTATGACTGTGTGGCCACTACCAGCTCCACCACCATCATCAAGTTTGCTGACGACACCGTCGTGGTGGGCCTGATCTCTGATAACAACGAGACGGCCTACCTGAAGGAGATTAGGAATCTGGAGAACTGGTGCCAGAGGAACAACCTCCTTCTAAACGTCAGTAAGACAAAGGAGCTGATAGTGGACTTCAGCACTAAGCAGGAGAGGAACTACCAGACCCCCGTCATCAACGAGTGCCCAGTGGAGAGAGTGGACAGCTTCAAATACCTCGGAGTTCACATCACGCAGGACCTGTCATGGTCCTGTCACATCAACACCGTGGTGAAAAAGGCCCGTCAGCGTCTCTACCACCTCAGACGCTTGAGAGACTTCCAACTGCCCTCCAAGGTGCTCAGGAACTTTTACTCCTGCACCATAGAGAGCATCCTGGCGGGAAACATCTTAACCTGGTTCGGGAACAGCACCATGCAGGACAGACGAGCTCTACAGAGGGTTGTGCGGTCAGCTGAGCGCACCATCCGCTCCGAGCTCCCTGACCTGCACTCAATCTACAGCAGGCGGTGCTGGACCAAGGCCAGGAAGATCGTGAAGGACCTCAGCCATCCCAACAACAGACTGTTCTCTCTGCTGAGGTCAGGAAAGCGATTCCGCTCCCTGAAGACCAACACAGAGAGACTGAGGAGGAGCTTCTTCCCGCAGGCGATATGGTCTCTCAATCACACCACCACACAGTACTGACCCACACATACAGTTCTTACACACACACTGGACTTTCTGGACTTTGGTTTTGCACAACACTGGTCACTATATTCTTCATTTCCGGTTAATACTTGTACAGCTGCTGTTATTGTGTATATATTTATTTAGATTTAGATTTCTTCATACATTCTTATATAGTTCTATATTGTGTATTTTGTTGTACAGTTATTTTATTTTCAACTTTAATTTATATATTTATCTTTATCTTATTCTTCCCAGTTAAATTTACCCTTCATTCGAATTTGTGTTGTACAGTTATTTCATTTTTAACCTTAATTTATATTTTATTCCTTCCTAGTTAAATTTACCCTTTTTAATTTTTCATATTTATTTCCTATCTTATTCATAGCCTTTTCCTTTTTTTTGTTCTCTTTAGGTCACGAGCAGTTGTCCTAGCATTTCACTACATATCGTACTGTGTATGACTGTGTACGTGACAAATAAAATTTGAATTTGAATTTGATCCCACAAATCGGCTCAGAAATACTGCAGCGTGCACTAAAAAGGATGGGCTCGCTCAAAATTACACTTCAAAAGAAGTACAGCAAAGCATCGACTGTATAATAAAGATGGAGCTAATGACTGTGCATTCATTCTTTGTTAAGTCCCATTTTTATGCTTCAACTTAAGCATTTTACAAAGACAGAAATACCTGCTAATTAATGCTGGAGCTCAGACGTCACAGACAGTCTGTTCAAACGATATCTGGGGTCCAACTGTAAAAACACGGCCCAGAGGTCCCATTCAGAGGACAGCTAGCAGCTACGGCTACTGTCAGTCAAAGATGCCACGCTCATAATAATGGAAACATTTTGGTTTTAATACAATTTAAACAGCTAAGTTATAAAAACCTTTTCTCCCCGTACAGTTGTTATGAAATGATCTATAAAAACCAGAACAGTTTGTGCATCGAGCTGTAAACACGTTTATTTCTGCTGTAAAGTTTAACATGGGAGTGAATGGTGATGGACTCACTGCTGCCTCTGCTGGACGCTAGAGGAACCTCAGCATGGAGGTGGTTTGATCTAAACCAGGCAGAATTTACTGATATCTGAGCCGTTTGAATAAAGATGTTTATTCAAAGAAAATGTATATAAGTATAACTGTGGTGTACAACACGTTCTGGGTTATTATGGTGGACTCACCCAAACGAGTAGACCTGGCTGGGTTTCTTCATGGTCACCCAGGAGCTGATGAGACAGGTGATCAAACTGCAGGTCAGAGGAAGGAGAAGAGGAGGATGAGAGGAAGCAAGGGTGATGGCAGGGAAAGAGAAATTGGGTGATTGATGGAGTGGATGGAGGAGGACAGACGAGAGAAGGGCAGATAGGAAGAGTCAGCGAGAGACAAGCGGCAGAAAAAAGAAACCAACACGACACAGAGGTCGGCCCAAGTTCACCTCCTCCTGATTTATTTTTCATTCATAACATCTCAGAATTTATTTTTCATAAGGAGCAGAACATGAAGGTACAAAGCTACGCTGAGCAGGCTGAGTGCAATCTGCCATCAGTTTCTGCGCTCAACCCGTCGATCAACCTGCCAAACATCTTCAACCGGCTCTAATCTATTAGACTAGTCTAGTCTGCAACCTGCTCCGGAGTTTCTGTAACTCTCCCGAGACTGTTAAAGACCTCAATAAATACAAACTAAGATTAAACAACCACATTTTGTGTCACGTTAGATTTTTTATTTTTTTAAATGGAAACCTCCAGACACCAGTGGCAAACCTGTTCTGCAGAAGCTTTCAGTTATCCAGAGCTACACTGTTACGTTTTAATAAACTATTTCAACTTTAAAGTGCCAATAAAATCAGAGGAAACAGAAATATGAGGTAACCCACTCACCTGAAGAGGTCAAAGATGGTGAGGTACGTGTAGGCAGTTAAAGCTGAAACGACAAAACAAAAAAAGACAGTCGAGTTAGAATTTTTGTAATTTCATGTATTTGAGGATTTATCTTCATCTACATTCTGGACGCATGTATACGCATAAAAGAGGTAACTGATTAGAATAAGACATTTAATAAAATTACCCACAACATTTAAATTGTCTTCTTTTGGTGAATTAAATGTCATGAATACAACTTCGTGTATTAACCAGCATCTGTAATGAAGCGAGAGGTTGATTCATCACATCTCTGAGACAGTTCTAACATCAAACTGTGTCTGATGGAGTTTGGCAAAAACACACAAACTGAAACACAAAGTCTGACCTGCAGATCTGTTGCCATCATCTGGTACTTACAGTTGCAGCAGATTAAATGTTTTTCACTGACTTTAAAGTGAGTGAAGGTGCTACAATCAGTTTGTTAGCAACGAACTGAAAAGTGCCCACGGTCGGACACCCATCCATCAGGGTAAAGAGAACTGAACAAAGTTTGTACACAGAGAAGTCAAGCTCAGCACTATAAAATGCCAAATCCACAGTGCTTGCCTATGAAAATTTAAAAATAAACATAAATTAAAAGCCAAAGTGAAATCTCTCCTTATATATCGAACAGCGTTCTGTTCTATAATCTCCTCTCGCTGCCTGTTTGCATCCGTCCTTTAATTACTGCCATCTTATGGTCACAGTTTGCTATTGTCTCTGGAAGCAAGGCCTGAATCTGTCGAGCTGAGCAGGCAGCAGCTTTTCTTTGCTGTAGTTAGCTTGTACGCATTAACAAGCTAACTACAGTAGCTTGTTAACATATAGCTTTCATTGTTATTTGCCTGCTTAAGCTAGTGGTAGAAAGCTAACAGCTCTGTATTAAGGTGAGGTAAGACGTTCTTCTTTGATCTCAGAGATGGTAAAGCTTCGCTTTCTAACAGTATCGAGTCAAAAATGGTAAATATATTTCATGTTCATTTATTCTGGTCTTACTGACCACTCAAGGTACCTGATACCTCAAAAACATGCCCATTAGTGCAGCATGTTGTCTATCACAAACACACATATACACTGATGGATGCATTGGGGACAACTGGGTGTTCTGTCTATGGCCCTTCCAAGCCACTGTAGATTATTTTGGGATGCTAAAATAATCCCTAGGCTTAGTGAAATCTAATATTTTTACCCAGTTTGGGGCATTTTGTTGGCATTTCATCCTTGAGTTGTACAGTGTGAGGTTTACTGTTCATAAATTAACTTCCATGTAATCCAGCGGTTGCTGGTGCGATCAGGGGAACACACGGAGAGTTTTACGACTGTCCAAATGAAACGGGTCGGTTTATACAGATTGTTTACTACCAGGCTTGACTGCTAGCCACTAAATCAGTCACTGAGTTAACAAGTCAGTAAATCACGCGGGCAGACAGTCAGCCAGGCTTTCACCGAGTTAATCACCCAGACTAATTACCTGGCTCGTTTCCAGCCAGGTAAGCTGAAGCGGCAGTTAGCCAGTTAGTAGACCAATTAGGCAGTCGGCCAACAAAGTAATCAGTCTGTTAACCAGCCAGATACAAATATCAGCCTGGCTTAAACCCTGCCAGTCCGTCTGTCGATCTTTCGGCCTGTCTGTCTGTCCTAATGCTTGCCTTCCTGTAATCAGGCTGTGCTGTGGGGGATGAGGAGAGCGGATTAGAGCGGCTTTGTGCTGAGAGGAACATTTTGTTTCCCCACCACCGCCGTTCATGTTGGCCAACCTGACGTCCTGTAATCCTGACAGAGAGGCCCCGCGGCAAAAACCCAAAGAGAGGCAGACGGACAGAGAGGGAGACGGGCGGGAGGGCTGAGTGACAGATCGACAGGCTGGGAGAGGGAGGCGGAGGGAGACAGATGGATGGATCGAGGCAGGAAGACGGGCAGAGAGAGGGAGGTGAGAAGGCGGATAGACAGCATGATGGACGTGTGGACGGACGGGTGCAAAGAGGGAAAGTGAAAGAGTGAGAAAGAGTGAGAGACGACCCCTAAATGTGGCGAGAGTAGACAAGAAAAGGGAGATTGAACCAAAGAAAAGTGTTTTATAACAATGGTTTGGATTCTAAAAGAAAAATCTATTCACGTGATCCTCGTGGAGAATAAAGTATGACTAGTCTCTGTACAGGCGCCAGTGCGACCAACAGCATTTATTTCAACTTTGATGAGCATGAAGTCGTAAACAGTTCATGGAAAGACAAGAAGCCCTTCTTACATACCGATTACATCCTTCAGATTGATTGCTAACAGCTGTGGCTCTGATAAACTATTAATAAATTATTTACAGTTAGATTACTGCTCAGTGCTCCAAATCAATACCCACATTTATCATCTGTTCAGCCTTTTAATCACGTCCTGCTGTCACAGAGGGACTGGAATAGTTTTTTCCAGACTTAACGTAAGAACTCGTCAATAACACTGATAATCTAATTAAAATGTGAATTAAAATACATTCATGTCAGTTGTACTTAGACACCATCCACCTGCTTCATCGCGGCCCCGGCATGCTCCAACAGCCAGTCAGACAAATTTGCTTCGTTAAGTAACAAAAAAGAAAACAGCAAAGCAGGAAGCCGGCCTCCAAACCAGTCCAGAGGTATCAGAACTGAGATACTGGGCCCTGATTTAGGGGCTTTTCCTCCCCGCTGTTACTGTGCTGGCTCATCGTAGGGTCTTTACCTTACACGCCTCGAGGAGACTGCTGCTGGGATTTATCACCATATAAACAACTTTACTGCACTAAATTTGACCTCTGACCTCAGTCAACACTCCCCTGTTGAGTTTCTGGTCCCGTGCTAGCAAACAAGTGTGCGGGTGCCAGTTTCTGTTAGTGAACAGCCCCACAAAAAGGCGACGCTACGTGGGGCGCATCGCCTTTCACCGATTCTGTTCATAACTTTCATGGACAGCAGCTGCAGCCACGGAGCGGACTGTGCTGGGTTTGGTGGTCGTTTGATTCAGAAAGCAGCGACCTCCACATCAGACTGTTAAAGCTTCAAATCAAGTGTGAAGTGGCACCTCCACGCCTGAGCCTGTGGTTCTCTTAGATTTCACCTGTCCCACATCTGATATGAGCCTTTAAAGTTTACCCAGAATGCAATTTTTGACGTTTTCTCCAGTATCAGAAACTTTTAGTATGATTCTGATGCTCAAAGCTGGTCACAGACGCAGGAACTTGTGTTCACACTGTGACTCTGGGGGTAAACTGATTTGGTTGACTTACAGTAATATAAAATAATTTTCAGAAGGTCCTTTTGCTGACTTAATTTTGATATGCAGCAGCTCATCTCTCCACGGGGATCAATGAGCGTTGATGTCACTGTGTTGAATTAAGAGCTGCAGACAATAAAAGCAATAATAATACAAACGCTGACATCACAGTGACCCTGAAACAGGCCGCAGCAAATCAATACGTGGGCTGAAATTTCCCCTTGCTGTGCTCAGATAGGTTTACATGTACACTGCAGCGCGCACACACACACACACACACACACACACACACACACACACACACACACACACACACACAAACACACAGAAGCCAGTTGAATTCCTGTCCCAGCCTCCTGCTTACAAACACTGACACCCAGAGGACGTGTGGATGTGATACCAGAGCTGCAAACACAGCAGACAGGACATTATTCATCTGTAACACACACTCATACTAAAAGGAACAGATGGAGAACATTACGCTGAGCTACAAAACAAGAAAACACACACACATACATGTATATTAGAACATGTAGAGACATAAAGGCCCCAGAGGACCTGAACTCAATACTCAGAACAGAACGAGAGGATTAAGATCCCTGTGTTTGTTTTCAGGAATGATCGATGGAGGGGAGGGCAGCAAATCTGTCACAACCACTCGTCTCTCTTTATTTTTTTGGCTCAACTCTTCTGTTCTCTTGGTTCCACGTCTTTCCTGGGTTTGCTTTCCTTCTTTGATGTTTTAGAAGAAACAAAGTGTGAGGATTTAAAACAGAAGGAAGAAGGAAAGCAGCCGGGAGTGGACGGACAGATGAGAGAGGAGAAATACGAGCAGCAGGATGAATATTTAATGGTGTCTGCAGAGGAGAAGCCCAAACACACACACACACACACACACACACACACACACACACACACAGGAATCAGAATTAAAACTATAAGCGCACACTGGCAGACGGACGCTGCACCTTCACAGGTTGCAGATTCAGAATTCGTGTGGCCCATTTTCTAAGAAAGTTTCTACGAGTGCATCTAAACCAGCTGCCCCTCCCATAACCATCACGTCCTCATGATGGACTCCTGCTTCACGGTCTTGGACTGCAGCTGGTGGTGTTTGGGGCATTGAACCAGCTCTCCACCTGCTGCAGGGTCTGGTTAGCGTGGCCTTCCACCTTTCACCACCTCCAGGCCAGAAGGACTTCCATCAGCAGCTGGAGCCTGAGACTGTGACACTGGAAGAAACCTATCAGAGAGAAGCTAGACCAACCAGCCCAATGAGCCGGCCTGCAGAGCAAACAGGCAGAGCACAGGACAGCTGGTTAGGACTGCCATCACCAGCTGCATCATAGCAAGGACCGCCTCAACAGCAACCCGACCAGCAGCAGGCACAAAGATGGCAGAACTGCAGTGAGAGCATCACCCATTCGTTCTGAACTTCGACGCGTCAACGTCAGCATTTTAGATGCCGCCATGTTGTTTTGATATGGATGAAAGGGCGGAGCTTTAGCCAATAAGCTAAAGCTTCTATGCCCGGTTAGCAACAGCATCCACACTGATCTGCACTAATTAATGCGACATGAAAAACTATTTAAATACCAAGAAAACTGGAGCTGAGTTAGTACAGTGACCTCACAGCAGCCATGTTATTGGTCAGATTAATCATTAAAAATGCAGCACAACTTCCACCTCACCGCTTTCTGTTTGGGGCAACAGTTAGACACTAAAACCACATTTTGAGTCTCAAACTTATGGGAACCAAAAGCCTGGTCCCCATAAGTAAAC